ACCGTGGAGGGCATAGGGGTCCATATGGTCGATCACGGAACATTTCCTCAGATATGTTCCATGATCTGGTGGCTCTAGCGTGCTGGCATACTTATCCATTCGCGACATGATATATATGATATACGATAATATGCCACCCAAGATGGCGGACCGGAAGCTGGCCAGTGACGTCACTGAAAACCCCCTATTCAAACAGAGCCAATGTTTGAAGCATCAGCGGCTCTGATGAATGTGGAAATGGGACTTTTTTCCATTTTGAAAAGGTTTGCATTAGAACTTAGCAGCGACTAAGACAGAAGGTAAATACCTGTTTAACCAAATATAGTCTAAGCATGTCTGCTGTATGTAGAGTTATCCTGTATTTCTTTTGAATTTGTAGAATTGTGCAGATGGAAATAGAGGGTTGTTTGTTTTTTTAGCCGATATGCTGATTTTCTCTGTATCATAAAAATAACACATTCAAGGGTCTGTAAATAAATGTATTGTATTAACATGTGCGGGGGGCAACTAGAAGAGGAACTGACATTAAGCATTTAAAATTCAACTTCGATATAAAAGTTGCGCATCTGGGCTGTAGTTACTCTGTGTCGATCATTTCATGTATTTTATGGGACCGTTCTAAACATTATTTTTTCATAATACATCTGAAGTGTAGATATCATCCAAAACATGGAAATGAACTTGACCCTAACTTGATTTACACACATTGAAGCTGGTCTGTAGACGCTGTATTCAGTGTATTCTACTTCATCAAATCATTACATGTTATATTCTATAAAAGAAATAACACCTGCTATTTATACCTGCGCTGCCTCAAAGGCTCGTCATAAAATGAAAACAGTAATAGCAAAGAAATATTGCTCAAAGGGACACCATCACATTTTCTTTTTCAGTCTGCTGTGGCTAAGAATCTGAATAAAATGTATCATACTTTAGATTTAAATATTATTTTCCCATTTTAACGTTGGTTACTTACGTTTCTCAAGTTTCACAAATCCAAACCTCCTGCTGCTTTACAGAACTGCAATCAGCAGCTTTCAAATGTTGCAGCATATTTAGTTTATTAGCTGGATTAGTTTGGTAGCCTAGCAACAGTTGGAGTAACCGCGGGATTCTAGGGTGAACAAAATGTGAAATCAGGAAGCCAATCAGGAAGAGAGAAGGCGGAACTTAAGACAGAACAACCAATGAGAGTGGAGTTTAACACCACAGCAGCGGCTTTAGCAGCACATTCGCTGCTACAGCCGAGCGCACACTGTGCGATTTTGTTAAATTGTTGCACGCAGCTACAGGTCGCACTGAACGAGGAAACCGCAGGGTATTTGGACAAAGACATGGCTGAGCAAACGTGGCTACTATGGTCTGTCAATTTTACAGAGAGAACGCCATTTCACTTGCACCCCCACCATGATTCTGTGTTTCCGTCTGACAGGAAGAAGAAAAAAAGAATCCCTGTTGCCCACTGAGCGATTTGCCCACGACAGTCGACTGAAAATCAAAGATGTTTATTTTCTCTCAACCTCACGATTCTTGATGGGGAGGAGGTGAGAGGCTGATCGGCCCTCGTTACCCCCTGTACACAACGCAACATCAGCCTGAAAGTCGGCCCGATTGAAAAATTCTCGCACGACTGGAGAAACGGCCAGAAATGGGCAAATAAAAATCGTATCTTTTCATCTGTTTGCTGGTTCAAGGGTTTGTCTCTGAAAACTCTGAATTCTGAAAAACTGAATTGTGACAGGAAAGACTTTGATACGTAACTTAGACCTTTTCTATATATAAACTCTTTTCTTTAACATGGACCATGGCTCTTTGAGCATCTATTGTTGTATAAACTGCTGGAAGGGACACACAGTGACTGTTTGTGACTTTAGCAATGTTCACTTATACGGTTTGCTATAAAGTAGGGCTGTCAGTTTTAAAGTGTTATTAACGCGTTAACTGCTTTAGATTATAACGCCGACATTGTTTTTAAGGCACGTTAATCGCGCATCAAAACAAACGCACCGTTTGCTTTTGTTCTTTATTTTTCCGCAGCGCTCTCTGTACTGTTTGTTTTACCCTCTGCGCTTTCCGTAGCTTCAGGAAGCGGGAGAGTCCGCAGCATGACAGATCCGTGCTTTGAATGGGCAAAAATGGCTAGCAGACAAGGTATCCTGAATGATACGTTTCTTTTTAAAGTTATGCCAGAAGGTTCTCTTGACAAAACCCGAGTCGCCTGTCTCTGTTGTCCAGAAGAAACGAGCGTCTCACTGGCTTAGTGCCAACAAGACAAAGAAATGAACCAAGTCATGTGGAACGCACTGCTACTGCACTTCCTGTTCAGACCAAAGGAATATTAAAGCATTTTGAAAATGTTCTACATGTAAAATGTTATGTTGCTGAGATGACTGTAAAGCCCTGTTACTGTAATTTCGTTTGATTTATTCATTACTTTGTGAGTAACTTCATTTTATTTGGATTAAGTCTGTATTTCATAACGGAATGTGCAATTTATTTTAACAGTACATCTTTATTTTTGTCCTATGTTAGAGAAAAAAATTAAGTTTACGGAGTACTTTGAAGTACTTTTTACTCTTCTGTAGTTTTGTACAGTTTTGATGGAAGCATTTTTTTTTTTTTTTACAATTTTTGAATAATTATTGGCCAGAATTTAAACCAGGATATTTTTATTCTAGTTTCTTAAAAGTGCTTGAAAAATAATGATAATAAAAAAAAACTTTTTGTACATGCATGTTTTTTTTTTTTTTACATTATTGCACAATTGCATTTTTAAAATGCCAAAATAAAATAAATAGAAGAAAAAGATCAATTAATTTGCGATTAAAACTTTTTATAGTTTGACAGCACTAATATAAGTTAATTGCCCTTTGGGACCATTTCAGTTTATTGAATCTGTAGAGCTTCCTGCAGCAGAGGAGGGCGAACAGATCAGAAACAATAAAGCACACCGACTACGCCCTGGCTTCATTATGTTGCTCCCCATTGTTTACTTTCCTTATTTATGTCGCACTGGTGAAATCATCAATGCTCACCCAGCATGATGATGTCACCAGACATGCAGCGGCCAGCGAGAGGTCAGACCAGCTTTTATTGCCAATGGGAGGGGAGCCAAATGCCGACTGTTTGAGCATCGAGTCGATCCATGAGTGAAAAACACGCCCGGCTAATTTCAGCGGGAAACAGGCTTTATAGACGGGTTATTAGGGTCAGGCTGTTCCCGTCCTGTTTTCACATTCAGACTTTTGTATCTTGGTAAAGAATATTATCTGAAATTGTGTTTATCTGTTATACACTTTCAATACTATTAAAACATTTATAATTTTTTGTTGTTTATAAAACTTTTTTATGGTTTAAGCGTTTTGTTATGAGTCTGGTGAACATAAAGTTACGACTGCACTACTGTGTGTTTTTCTTAAATAGTTCAAATCTATATAGTTTTACTTTTTTGCCTGTTTGCAAAACCTATTTTATTTCAAAAAGGAAGTTTTAAACAAACTCCAAATAAGTTCTCTTTGGTTTTAAATGATTTTGTGCAACTTTTTTACGTCACAATTTTAGAGGGAAAAAGTTTAGATTTTTCTGTATTCAGAAAAATATGAGTAAAAAAACCAAAAATGATTTTTCTATTTGTTTAAAAAGACTTATTTCAGACAAACTGTTAAAATGTGGAATATATGGGTTGTAATGATGTCTTAGAAATAAAGCTGAAACATTTATTCACATTAATTGATTGCTGAAATCATCATCAACTAATTTAGTAAACAATTAATTGTTAACTGGAGAATAGAGACTCTAAAACATGCATTTAGCTGATAGAATGACTCAGAGCAGGAATTATAAAAACATTGTTAAAAAATATATTAACATTTTACATTTAAGATAAAAAAAAAAAAAAAAACATATTTTTGTCTGTCAACAAACTTCACCCAGAACTCCTGAAGTGGAAAACATTTTAGTTTCA